AAAAAAAATAAAACCGACTTCAAATGCGTGAACACAAAAAAAACTAAAAATTGCGTATAAAAAAGTTCATCCCCAATTTTCCACTCTTGGGGGTGAAATATTTTCTTCAAATTCGCATGAAACCACCCTTTTGATAATACCTATTCAACAAAAAAATAATCGTTCATCTATACTAATATTATAAAGCTGAAGAGTTTGTTTGTTTGTTTGTTTGTTTGTTTGTTTGGTTGAACGCGCTAATCTCAGGAACTTCTGGACCGATTTGAAAAATTCTTTTTGTGTTGGATAGCCCGTTAGTTCCTGAAGGCTTTAGGCTATTTATCATCACGCTAAGACCAATAGGAGCGGAGCACCAATCAAATATATTTCAAATCAGTGAATTTTTTCCTTTTGAGAGCTGACGCTGCGTAAACGGTTAAAGTTTCGCAAAAATCATGTATGACAGGATTGTTCCCCTTTAAAAGTTCTTTAAAAAAGTCCGCAATAGTATATGTGTATCTTTTAAGGTTGGCTCATAGTAACCATTTTTATGCAAAAAAAAATCTGTTTTAAAATAATGCATTATTTGCGAAAGTGTTTTTATAAACATGATATTAATCCTTATCCAAATAAATAAATTATTCACCACAAGTATTTAATTTTAAACATTCTTGCCCTTTACACCATTCGATTTCAATAAATATCTTAGGAGATATCGCAGTTTTAAAATCACATCGCAGCAAAATAATGATCAAGTACTACGCGCGCTACTGATGGATCAATGCACAGCCTAAACCGCTGATCGTAAAGACCTGAAACTTGGACGGTGTGTTCTTTGTATGACGTAAGCATCTGATAAGAAAGGATTTTCCAAAATTCTACCCCTAAGGAGGTAAAAAGGAGGGGCAAAGTTTGTATGAAATAACGAGATTCCTTCGTCCAATCTACTTAAAATTTTGCATAAGCATTCTATAACAGAATTAATGGAAGACGTGTTTCGTATTTTAGTGAAATGCACCCCCTAACTATGTTAAAAAGGGGTAGAAAGTTATTTTAGTGGTGATTTGCTTCAAAGTTGATATTAATTACTCATTAGTGCATTTTTTTACAATCATGACGTCATGTTAACGACTACCATACTCTAGGGGCCTCCACTTAACCTCGGAGTGGGTGCCCGCTGCGTGCGCTCGCCCAACAATGCATAGTAATGCATGAAAGTCATGCCGCGGGCACCTGCTTGCGCTGTATACATAAACTCATTTTCGCGCGAGAGTTTTGGCGGAGGCCCTTGAGGTAGTGGGAGTAGTCTTGAAGAAAATCTCCTTCTCCCACGGCCAGTGGCATGCTGGAAGCTTGGTGATTCTAGCACCCGTAGGAAAATATAAAAAAAAGTTTACCAATAATACTGCGGTAGGTGTAGTTTTCGATTTCGTTGTAAAAAAATAATACCACCGAGTAACTTTCACAGGATCAAAGGCCGAGCTGCATATTCATAAAATATAAGAAAAAAATATTTTCATGTTTATTTAACCTGATTTTTATATTTTAAAAGTATTCAAACATTTAGATAATAACGTAGATATGTACCATCCTAGACTGCATCTCACTTAACACCAGGTGCGATTGCGGTCAAATACCTGCCTTGACTAGCATAAAAAAAAAAAAACGTTAAAACATTTAAAAATAATCGTATGAGAACGTTTTCGACTTCTCCACGGACGAAGTCGCGGGCAAAAGCTATTTGTAAAATAATTAGACTAAATTATTAAAAGTGCCTACCCAAAGTCATTATTCCACGCGGACGAAGTCGCGGGCACAGCTAGTTGATTTATAATCGGCGGAGATATTGCGTATAAAAAAGTTCATCCCCAATTTTCCACCCTTGGGGGTTGTTTTTTCTATTATTAAATTTAAATGGGACCACCCTTGAGGTATTACCTATACGCCGAAAAAAGATTTGTTCAAATCGGTTCATAATTGGCGGAGTTATCGCGTAACAAACATAGAAAAAAAAAAAAAACATACGGGTCGAATTGAGAACCTCCTCCTTTTTTTTGAAGTCGGTTGAAAACATAACCCTCATCCTGCAACATCCCAAAATCACTGAGCCAAATAAGATGACGTAAACATTCGAATAATTTCGAATTTAGAAGGCCGTTGCACAAAGAAAAACTACACGACAGATGACAAATATCTTACATTTATCTTTTTTCTCACGCGTTTCAACATTCGTGCTATAATAAAGAATCTAACTCCTATTGCAAAGAAAATAAAGAATAGGTACCGTTTTCCTGTTCCAATTATTATTCTAGACTAGCGGCCGCCCGCTACTTCGTACACGTGGATCCCGTTTTACCCCCTTCATCTATCTTACGCGGTTTAGATTTTTTCATACAAAATGTTTTTTCCCGCTAACTCCCGTTCCCGTGGGAATTTTGGAATATCCTGTTGTAACTAAGCTTTAAAATTACTAAGATACCTGCATGCCAAATTTCAAGCGTCTAACTTAAGCGGTTTAGATTTTTTCATACAAATGTTTGTTCCCGCTAACTCCCGTTCCCGTGGGAATTTTTCAATATCCTGTTGTAACTAAGCTTTAAAATTACTAAGATACCTGCATGCCAAATTTCAAGCGTCTAACTTAAGCGGTTTAGATTTTTTCATACAAATGTTTGTTCCCGCTAACTCCCGTTCCCGTGGGAATTTTGCAATATCCTGTTGTAACTAAGCTTTAAGTTAACTAAGGTACCTGCATGCCAAATTTCAAGAGTCTAACTTAAGCGGTTTAGATTTTTCACACAAAACGATTTTCTCGGTAATTCCCGGTCCCGTGGGAATTCCTAAGTATCCTATAACCTGCCCAGGAGTATGAAGAATAATTGTACCAAGTTTCGTTAAAATCCGTCGAGTAGTTTTTGTTTCTATAAGGAACATACAGACAGACAGACAGACAGACAGACAGACAGACAGACAGACAGACAGACAAAAATTTTACTGATTGCATTTTTGGCATCAGCATCGATCACTAATCGCCCCCTGATAGTTATTTTGAAAATATATTTCATGTACAGAATTGACCTCTCTACAGATTTATTATAAGTATATAGATAGATTACAACCATAACTCTTCACGACTCATTATTTCCCGTTCTGCGTTTTGGGTCGATTATGCTGCTCTAATAACTTCTTATAAGACCAACGTTGAAATTAAACCTGGATTAGGGGCACTAGGAAGGAAATATAATATCTGTAGGTAGCGTTAGGAACAAACACTCAATTCCTTTAAATAAGTAGGTACTACTTATATCACAAAAATATGTAACACTAGCTTTTGCCCACAGCTTCGCACGCGTGAAATTAAATGGCAATGCCAGATTTTGTATGATGGAAAGTGGCGTCTTTTTTTTTCGCGCGGCCATCGACCAAACTTTGTTTTTTGATTACAAAATAGAGTAATAAACCAAACTTACTATGGCATGTATACCCCTAAACTCAGTCTGAACTGAGTTACGGGCATTAGCAGTTTGATGATTTTCATACTAGATTTGCTTTTTGTGCGCAAGTTTTGTAAGAAATTGCAACAAAATATTGCGCTATTTTTTTATTGCGCTGATTCTGCTCCATACTGATGTCTGGAGCCTTTAATGGATGGTATTGTTTGTTTACACATACAATCTCACTATTTTGTTGCAATTTCTTACAAAACTTTGCGCGCAAAAAGCAAATCTAGTATGAAAATCATCAAACTTCTAATGCTCGTAACTCAGTTCAGACTTAGTTTAGTAGAGGTATACATGTCATAGTAAGTTTGGTTTATTACACTATTTTATTAAAAAAACAAAGTTTAGTCGATGGCCGCGCGAAAAAAAAAAGACGCCAATTTCCGGCATTGTCTTTTGTCACAGATCATTATAAATTATAGCCTATATGTTATTCTTATGTATAAACCAACAATAACTCTGTAATTTTTATCAAAATTCATTCAGTAGGGAAATAAATAGGTTCTTTCAGTAAAACCAAAAAAGCTTGTTTCACCAAGTACTTAGCCCATGAGTCCGATACGTAATATTACCAAAATGTCTTAAACTTTAAATATTATCCCACCAAAACAATTTTACATGGAAATACATTTTATCGCACTGTAATTTTTTTTTATCAGATCGCATGTAGAGCCAAACACCTTAGTTAAAATATTTGTCATTTTATGCAAACCCTATAAGAAGATCTTATTAGCCAGTTTATCACCTCCAAATTCCTATTACATGTTCACACATCCCAAGATTCATTTGCTGATCAAACAATCCTGAACTTTGACACCTGAACCACTCGTGACCGTCCGTTGCGTGAGAGAAGAAGCAATTTCCACCAGCCAATTACATCCTGCTATTATGCGACCTAATATCCTTGGGACTATTCTGAAAGGAAACTATTCTTTGCCGACAAGTGCCATTCTTACAATCACGAGAGATAGAACGAGGTAGGTATGTTCAGACGAAGGATTTTTGTTACGAGATGCTTGTTAGGTGTTTTTACAACAAAAAGGTGTTCTGATCTGAAGTTCTAAAACTTTTTATTCCTTGATACATAAAAAAGTACTAAGTACCTAGGTAAATAATATGTTTTGGGTCCTACATTAAAAAACCTTTCTTTACAAGCTATATCATTAATCACATTTAAGACTTTTACTTTAACTTTATCAGGATCAAAGTTGATACAGAAATATGTCTCTTAAATTTATTTAAATAAAGCTTTAATGCCATATAATTGGTACATAAGGCGAACTTAATGCCATTATCCGTTTCTCTAGTGTTTTTTTATATAATTGTCTATCTTGGCTTACCAGTCGCCATTTATAAGAATGCATTTTCGTCGAAAAATTTCACCTATTAAAACTACCCACAGATAATGCCACAGTTTACCTTGATGTGATCTTATATTAAAACCACTCCACTTATCCCTCTATAGAAATGTTCGTTTTCTAAGAAACTTGTTGTATTTATCTATATTTCACGTTGTTACAGGACGGGGACGTGATCGAATTGTGCCAAGTCAGTGACGTGAGGTCTGGAGGAGTGCCAAAGGTAATTAATTTCTCATCAGTACCTAATAGTCAATCAATTTCAGATGGTAGACCGGTCTTGTTAATACTAGTTTGTGGTGAATCAGCTATTTACCCGAGCGTTCTTGTTATGTTCTATGTTGACTTATTAACACGTTAACACCATTGACGGGACATAATAAGTAAGTGTTAATTCGAAAATGCCATTCTGAAATTTAAGACAGCAGTAAGTGATAGATAAGTCAGCCAATGCACATTTTTACTGCGATATAGAAAAAAAAACAATTTTCCATTGCTCTAATTTATTTTATCACTGACCCTTAAAATTTTGTTATGAGTCTAGTAGTCGGAATACTACACTCTCTTAGTTAAGTAACTAAATTAGGAATGGGAATGGTTGGATCTCCAAAATACGTAGTTCTGATCTGATGAGCTATCTATCTTGTGCTGTACTTTATCTATTTGGTAATATACAATCTTCCAACCAATTACGATTACCAAACCCTCTTATCCATAAATTGGTAATCGAAATAAATACGCACGCCTACTGGTCTAGAAAACAACGAAATACGTCGGGTGAACTGGGACTGAGAAATCAAGCACTAATGTGGAAACTTGTCAAGAACCAACACACTTGGTAAGGGGCGGAGTTCACACATTAGAACACCCTAGACACTCTTTGCGTGTCTAACATCATTCATTACATATAGGGTGTTCGAGAAATTATGTTATCTATGACAAGCCTCGTCATTAGCTCAAAATGTCTAAATTATTACTGTGAAAAGCTTCAACAGTTATGGTGACATATTCTGATTCTGAACACTTTTACCCATTCAGTTATCAAAACATCAAGCTTTGTTTATTTATAGGCTGTGTTTACGGACTGTGCCACCTGAAACCATTATCGTTTGTGATTTATAACTGATAAATACAGTAAATAGATTTCCTATTTTGGGTAAACTCACCTATGACGCAGGTTGCCTTTTGGACGCAATTACCGTAACGTATATTGTTATCACCTACACACTGATAACGGCTACGTACGCTATGACGTCAGACCATCAACGGAACGTCGCAAATATTGAGTTTGATTGTTTACTACCGATATTGGGGAAACGTTCCGCGATCGTATTTTTACCTCAAGTATGTACCTACTAATTTATTTACGTGGGCAAGCCTTTAATTGTAGATGACATAGATATGTTGGTGATTTAGTTATTAGATCATATTTTGGGGATATCTCTAATGACCTTTGAGCTACTAATCCGGGATTAACTACTCGTAAATTTTAATGAAGTAGTTTCTTTATCAATGCAAATGTAAGGCATCCATGTCTGTTGTATATTGATACAAAGTAGCAAAGCCAGAACGGTTTTTTAGCAAGCAAAAGATCGTGAATCTTAGTCCCGCACTCCCAATCCCATCGCACGCACGTCGCACTAGATTTTTTTAAGTGAAAAAGATTTAATATGTTTTATTACAAACCAATCTAATACTTCAGTGTTAAATAGAGCGATTTCCATAAATCAACTCATCGTTTGCTAATAAATAAACTCCAGATAGGAAATGACTCTCAACCTTAGTGTGTCGATTCAAGTCCGTTTTAAAATCTTTCAAGGTCTCATTTTGAAAGAGACTTCTTACAAAAATCTTACATGTAAAACTTTTCTAAGGTCAGTCAGCAATACACAGAACTTTATTTACGTAGAAACAGAATGCCAGACTCCATGAACGCCATCAAATCGAAGCATTGAAGTTCCAATTCCCAATGTAAATAAGGAAGCGTAACTTTTCACGTTCTGATGCTGGAATGCTTGTTTACGTGAGAAAGCTACTTCGCTCAATCTGTTTGAAAGGTAGAGCAGAGATCATAATATAAATTAACAGTAAAATACTTTGGGGGAGGCCTTTGTCCAGCAGTGGACGTCATTTGGCTGAAACGAACGAACGAAAATACTTTGCCTGTTCATGACGGAATGAAGATTATCTATAGTAAAGACAGTACATCAACGGTACATTTTTTTTTTTTGGCTCGCTGTTTATTGAACATAGGCGGAAAAAGTTCTGAGCTCTAATCCGTATTCACAAACATTACTATAAGGTCTCAAGTGCGCGTGAACGCACTGTGAGACCTACGGGTGACACATGAACCAATCACAGAGCTCTATTCAACGCTGTGCATTCGATTTGCTGCTTCACCTAAGCAAGCATCGTTTGTGAATACGGGCGTAAGAGCGTTTGGCTACAGTCTGCTAAAGGATACAGACTGCTACCGAAATCATTATGGGTTTGTGTATTTTATAACATGTGTCATACAGACTGATAAAACAAGTCAGCCGACCAATTTTTGTGGTATATAGGTCTGGGTTTGACTCACTTTTTACAGGGTCCTAAGATCCATTCCCAAAGGGAACATAAAAAATGAAGAAACAACTTAAAGGCGGTTTCCAGTTTGCTTAGGACATGAAACTTGTTTAAGAGTTTGATCCGTACTTCAAAGGGACTTAAAAATACTCTATGATATTGAAGCATTTAATTTAATAGACGGTAGAGTCCGCCCTGGCTTCCCCTGAAATTATGTGACCATGAAAGTTTAAAACAATATCCTAAGTACTGCAAAAAACAGTTCCTGTAAAAAACTGTGTCTCCGTGGGAACAAGCCCTTCCTTAGTCGTATAGGTAGAGCTCATAATATTATACTACTTTAAACTCGCCAAATTCTCACTTCCTCTTTATTTATGTTAGTAGTATAAATATACTAAGTATCAGTTGTGCAATTTAGATGTGAACTAAATGTTGGCCGTGACATCTTTCTTGCTTTACATATGAAGATCAAAAGATTATACACGTTTCAAAAGTAAGTTGTTTATTGCACGTCATCGAATGAATATTACTCTATAATATTCTTTACTTCGGCACACTGTATATACTGATTTGAAACAGGTGAAGTGAAGGTTTGCTATAAAAATCTATTATATCTTACGTATTATGATTTTTTACTCCTAAAACGCTTCTGTCTTAGCTAGGACTTGAATCTACGACCTTTTGCTCGTCGGGTGACTGCTATCAACTACGCCACATAACTAACTAACGTAGTTTATCGTAGGTATGTGTAGTTGCGACTAAGTTAACGACGTCTCAAAAAAATAGCCCAACTAAAAGCAAACTTTGGACTTAATTTTAGAGAAAAACATAAAAAACTGTATTTGCCGACCGCACGTTAGGTGACTGGCACGATATAGGTAATATTTAAAAAAAAACTTAGCTTAGACTGAAAATAGGTTAAGTTCGCCTTTACTTACTTATTTTAGGAGACTGGCACAATATATTTTTTGTCAAAAAAAGATCTCGTGTTAAACTTAAAATAGGTTATGGTAGCCTTTATGTAGGTCAGTAGAACCTCAAAAATAGAAGGGCTATTGATGGCGGGTGACGATTTACCGCCTTTGTCAACCTACGGGCACCCTCGATCGCCATGCTGATTGATCCTGCTCGTTTTTCAAGATTGAACTGTGTGGAAGTCAATAAATGGTTTGTAGAGCCGACCGTGGAGTCTTGTCTTGCATAAGTTTTGAGATGGGTGACTAACTTCAGGTGATTCCGAATCGCTGATTCGGTTTAAGGCGATTAGAGTCCTCAATGACCTTGAGCGTTTGACCTTCACGCTTCGCACAACACCCGCGCACCCCGCACGAAAACTCCGATTTGACACCGATCAAAAATACACGGGCACAGGTAGGTACAGAATAGAAGCTCTTTCTTCATACATTACTGCCTATTATTTTAAACTTGAATTGATGAACCTTGATGTCGATGTCATTCAACCCAGGCGCAAGTGATCGCCCGAAATGTTCTAAACTAGCGCACCGTCACCGTATAGTAAGGTATTTATATTTAACAAAAATTACAAATCCATGAACATTTTGTATGGGATAATATTTTTTATTTTATTTTATTTAGCTCATAATGTATGTTGTGTGTAAACTATGTTTGTTCGGGTGGAATTTTGCAAGCTGATTAGTTAGACCCATTTCCTGACGACAACCGATTGAGTTAAAATTTCGGATACACATGCAATTCGGATGACAATGCAATATTATGATGACATGGAGCTGATNATTTAAAGATTAAAGAATTCCTAATCTATTCGTGCAAAAATCTTTAAAATTAACATAGCCGTTTGGGAGGAGTAGGGAATTGAAGTAAAAAATCGATATCCCGTATTTATTTTTTTAATCCACAACAAAGAGACGTAGGAAAAATTCAAACGTCACAAATGTAGTCCTTGAACTGTTGTATAACATATATTTTTTTCAACTATTTCTGTCCAGCAGTATAAGAGGAGTAGGCTTTACAAAATGACCATTTCACGCGGATTGAGGACACTAATCGCCTTAAATAAACTGGTCTTTTTCAAGACTGAGAGCTTGAAAATTCTGCATTTTCGACCGCGTGGGTGAATGAAAAATATATTACAGTAAGTGGTGATTAACACCCGTATTCAAAAACGATGCTTGCTTAAGTGAAGCAGCAAATCGAACGCACAGCGTTGAATAGAGCTTTGTGATTGGTTCGTGTGTCACCCTGAGACACCATCTCATAGTAATGTTTGTGAATACGCGCGTAAGTAGGTAATAACTTGATAAGCATGTGTGTTCCACCTGAGAATCAAATCCTGAACCACCGAGTCGAGAGAGTTCAATTACAACAACTACTTTTAACAGACCAACAGGAAAACTGTCTCTCTACCTTAAAATGTATTACTTTATTTAACTAGGTAGTTTGTTACCACATACACATAAAGTTGTATGTTTATTACCGCCTTAACATTAGATCGTATTAAAATCTTTCCAAATAGATATCAGTTGCAATGACACCCGAAAATTCACATTTATTTATTGCCAGTTATTATTAGTTATTTATTACCTTACACCAAACTTGCTTTCATAACTTTCATTTGTGTCTGATATTTATTGCTATTGCTAAATGGCGTTTATACAAGTTAGTATGACTGCTGTCTGCGAACTTAGAAAGACACATTAGTTTGTTATCTTTAGAGCATTACTGATTAAACCTTGGTTCAAAGTTCAAGCAACATTAAACGACGAAACTTTAACGGTATATCCTTCGGATTTTGACTTATGATTCCTTTTAATTTCAGTCTCCCTTTCTTATGAGGGATTAGGAGTTATCTGAGACTTTTTATTGTGATGCTAAATTCAAACATATTACTCCTAATCCCATAATTTAAAATTATTCGCAATAAGATTTTAAAGACAGACAAATAAAGTCGATAACTCTACTTAAATTAATTTTGCAATGCAGATTTGTCTGTATTTGCCGAATCTATATAAATAAAAAAAATCCTCTTTCATGATAGAGCATCATGGGAAAACGCCTCAATCGGTTTAGCGATTATCTACCTTTCTATTGCATTCGTGATTATCATGCAAGGTTTATACCTAGTGTATAGTATAAGGCTACTTTTTCTATCAGTAATCAGGAAAGGTCTATTCATGATTATATTTATCAAATGATAAACACAGAGACGTCACAGACCGATAAAATTAATGAATATCCCATTTCCCCACAGGATTCAAAGCTAAGCTTCAACCTCCTGAACAAACATGGCGACAGCCTGGAGGACAAGTCGCTGACCATCTGCAGCGGCACCGACTACATCAACATCAACTACCAACACGTGGTCTGCCCAGACGCAGCCACGGCGAAGGTCAGTTCCATTACCTTTTGGTCCTATCCTTAGAAGTGTTATAGATCTAAGATCCATTACAAAACAATGCTTAAAAATAAATTCAATCTCAGTTATAGATTCTTTGCTATGATTGGTCTAAATATTGACACCTGCTTGAAATTGAATCGGTTTTGAGCTACGAGTATACGCACCTAATTCCGAAAAAATATTTAATTTCCTGCTACACGAATACAAAAACACTACTTTATTTAAATTTCCTCTTGAACAAGTGTTACAATATAATAGTCAACTTTCCTTCAGAAATCTTTTGGTAAAAAAACCTCGGTTAACGTTGAGGACTAAAGTTACCAAAGCAATGGGTAACTGGCCCTCCCACAATCAGCTTCTGAAGTTTTGAAAATACAATATCCCTTTTTATGGACTCAAGTTTTGAAAATACAACATCAACATCACTATTTTATTATAGACTCTTGCAATATTTTTTTTCAATTGCCTGACTGATAATAAAGCTAACAGCCATCCAGTGTAAGCAAACAGTGGCTCTACATTGGATACGCAAAATGCCAGACGTGCACTACATGCCAGTAATAGACCTAACGGCGTCTCCCACATCGTGTTTACTAATTCAAACTATTAAGAGCTGAATCAGCAATGGGTTGATTAATTTAAGATTAACGTCCCGAGAGAATTATGTAAAACTTAATTTAAACTCTATTAAGATTGGAAATTATTTACCTTCCCCAATAAAACCTACCTACCTATTTTTCACGTGAAGGAATCGACTGCCTTATGTATTAATACTCCTTAGATTGTGAGGACGCTATAAAAATTGTAAAAGCTAGCTCAATGGTTAGAGCAATATCTGATTACAGTCTACATAAATGATTTTTGTAGCTCAATGCAGTAACAGCGGTTGCCTAAAAAGTGTAAGAATTAATTTTTCAGTTGAAAACATCGTCAGCCTTGGGTGAGACGATGAGACTTCTTGCCGATTTGCTCTTATCACTGAGCAATATTTATTACGCAGTTGATTTCTTCAAATGAAAAGTATTTTATTCAAATTAGCATTATAAATGCAAATATCCCAGTAACCATTAGTGACCATAACGGTGTAACCCAAAAGGTATGGTTGGAAGGCCTGAGGCGGATTACCCACAATGTAAAAGCCAACAACTTCTGTCCAATGACCTGCCTGAAGAAGCAGTAAGTCAACGCATGTCGTGAGAACTGTGAAGCATGGCTTGTAGGACTCTAACATGTCGTAGATGTTGTAGTTATGGGTTTTTAACTATTTTTTATCTGCTTCTAATGTTTTTCAGTGTTTTTTGGTTGCGAATGATGTATTGTGTACATGCCTTTAGGTGTAAATTGGTGATTAATTTGACGATTGAAGAATAGCAAGATAAACCTGCTTCAACGTTTGCATTGAACAAAACAAACTATTAAAGTTAGTTAAGATTTTAGGTCTACTAGATGCAAATCAGTACCTACGTATAATAAAGCTGGATAAACAGCAAATATACATTAAAGTCCTAGGACAAGACCTAAACGTTAACTCCGACTGAGGATAATTGTCCATTGCCTTAATTTAGAATCAAAAACATAAACTTTACCATACTTGAAAACAAACAATGTAGTGACGAATTAGGAAGGACTAAAGGTCATGTACACAATTCATTGTGCACAAATGCATGTTTATTCGTTTGTTTATTTGCTTTTTGCCAAAGGTATGGAAGGAGAGTCTCCGGGAGATCACACACAACAACAAAATCAACAATGTCTGTCCGAGGACTAATCTCATGAAACAGTACGTAGATGATTGTTTATTACACATTAGGTGATGGGTTTTACTACATTGATACATCAGCAGTTTCTAGATAATAATCACAGACCATTTATCGGAGGATAAATTCGGTCTGACCACTGAAATTGGCAATTTTAGAGAGAAAATTCTGCATAGCTAACTCAAACAAGAGATCCAGTTACTGCTTTTTATCAATGATTAATTGAACTGTAAATATTTTACTCTCGTTTTCATTGATCTCGTTGATTGTAGCTGTAACAACACATTTTTTTGTAAATGTTTCAGAAAAAATAACCCTGACTAATACTGCACTTTAAAACATTGCAATGGTTGGGTTACTTTTCATAACTGGAAAAAACCTCGTATCGTAGTATGAATGTCATATTATTCAGAAGATTTGTGTTTTTAATTTGTTATTTTGATGTCTAATAATGATACATTTATTTTTATTTTTTGAAAGTACCTATGTCAGATAGATGTATTATAAACAAACAGTAAGTTATGAATATTCTTAGCTGTGAAGACTTTTATATAACTTAACCTTGCTATATCTACTCCCGAATTTACGCTCACTCCAATATTATCTACTAAAATGGCTTTTATTATGATTAAAAATACCCTTAGGGTATGGGGTGCTCCCTTTGATTACTTAGTTCGCAATATAAACAACAACATTGCCCGCGTGCACACTGTGACGTAAATAAATGATTTACTTACTACGTGCAAAGGCAGAATGCCTTTGAGATAGACTAACACGTACATTTTGATAAAGTAAGGCTAGAAGATTATTTATACCGATTAAAGTTAGATAAGCAAAATGACTTCCAGTGATTCATGGCAATCCTACTAATAATTTACTATCTCATGTAAAAGTACCTATAGAATGAATTTTGATAGAACTTTACTAATCATATTATAAGAATAGAATAGAGTATCTTTGCCCAAACGAAGAAGATTTTTTGTTCAAAACGTGCATTTTTCCAAAAAAATATTAAAGAGAAAAGTATATAGGTCATTTTACACAAAACTAATTTAGAATAGCATTTCACAGAATTAAAGTAATATCCAGCAGGCAGCTCACTGAAGGTTTGTGTCACTCACGAGCTCGACAAAGGCTTATCCAATGACGCTGTTTACTAGAAATCCGAACTCTGAATCCCGTTATACCAAAGCTTTGTGCCAGTGTTGCCACTATAGGTAATTAAAGCGAAACCCACCCACCCAGTGGTATTGCCAGGTATTGCGTTGCAATTGTACGTTATTCAGGAATAAAAGCTACAGTTTCAAAGGACATTGTTTTCAGTGGCACATTGTGAAATTGATAGCTTATGAAGCATACAGAATGGCTTTGCAAGTTTGAATATAATTTTGATACAGTGAGAAATGATGAAAGTGGATAAGTAAATATACCTACATAACATAATGACATTTGAGAATGATTAATAATTATCTAAGTACACAAAATGAGACAAAATAAAAGTAAGAGTACCTAACTCTCTTCAGGGATTTCAAATTCAAATTCAAATTATTTATTGCATGTCACATGGGTAAGGGTTGACAAGAACATAATATTGTACATGTGACGCATTTAGCTAGAAACTTACCAGAAGTTGATAAAGTCTTGTGTCATGGATCGACAAATAAATAAAAGCAAAATAATTATGAGGTAGGATAACTCACAAGTACGAGTAGGTAGATTATTTTTGGGTTTTATTCATCAAACAAACGAAAACAATAAGTAGGAAAACGAAAACTAATAAAACAAAGCTGGTTCCTGACGTCGCAAAGTTATTTGATGACATAACCCAGTGAGCCTTTATGCCTGAAATATGTCCTAGTTGTTGAACTAGTTAAATTAATTCACGGGGATGCGCCTACGACGCGCCCCAGTTTCAGGGGAAGAAACTTGTTACAAAGTTTAAAGCTCAAGCCAATTTTGTAGGCTGCACTGAATGAGTGATTGTAAAACGTTCTGAAGCGATATCATGGCCAAATGCTTTTAAAAATTGCAAATTCTGCGATGACTTTTGCAGAGTTCTTTCAGTCAACTAATTTGAGTTCCTTGAATATTGTGAAACAGATATTGTAAATTTTTAACAAAAATTAAATATGAATGAATTGAATACTACGGTACCATTGATATTGAAGGCAATAATGGTTCAATACCACCACGACGAGCAAAGTAATAAGATTAATTTTTGATATTTGGAGATTGAAAAGTTAATAAGTGCACTTCAAGCTGTCTATTTCACATGGGAACCTATAGAGTCTGACATATTATAATAAAATCATTGTACTTATGTAAAATATTGGAGGTTCAGTAAAAAAGAGCGTTCATTTAATCCATTTTCAGTCCAAACTGAAACCAAAATCGTACATTCAAATTAGCAGCGCGTTGGATCAGAGCTGCTAATCCCTCCGGAGCGCGGGGTTTCTCAGAAACGGCCTCATAATTTTGACAATACGGGCAGCGGCCATAACTAGAAATCCCGGGATTTCCCTTTAGAGGCATGAATGACCTTTTTATTTTTAATTGAATTCATTTGAGGATGCTCATGAAGAGCTGCTAATATTATAAATGTGAAAACCAGTTTACTTTTTCACGCTTAAACAGACATTAATAGTAGGTACTAAACTCATAGAAAAACATAGGAGAGTTTTTATCCCGGTTTTACAACAGGCAAAGGCTAGAAATGAATATTTATTTACCTACTCAAATTTACTCCGAAAAAACCTAACAGCTTGTTAAGACGCCCTACAATTTAATCGTACTAATATGAATAAAAAACCGATGACCACGCCATAATACCTTGCCGATATTTCCCATCGGACGTCCTGACGTGCGCCGATGACACCAGTTTAATATTCTAATGAAAGCCGTTAAACTACCAGGTCAGAAACCAATTACGTGAAGTGCAGTGGCCCGCCCACGCCCTGGCTTAAGAGTGCGAGCACACTATCACTCGTATTCACAAACGACGCTTGCTTAAGTGAAGCAGCAAATCAAACGCACAGCGTTGAATAGAGCTCTGTGATTGGTTCATGTAATCATGTTCCACTTGGTGCGTCCACGCTCACGGTGATACCTCATAGTAATGTTTGTGAATACGGGCGTATATTTTGTCTACCAACCGGTCAATATGGGGGAGGCCAATGTTCATCAGTGGAAGTCCTATGGCTGAAATAATGATGATGATATTTTGTCTACGATCGAACTAGTATCAAAACTGAAATGCCTGAATTTCAGCTTCGTCTTGGCTGTCAATCAGTCACACACAGTACAGACAAGACATGAATCACTGAAATGATTTTTTATTAGATATTTTTAAAACTAAAACATTTACTTACTAGGTAGTACCTACCTTTAGTTCATTTTAAGAACATCAGGTAGGAATTTTAGGTGAACAAAGGTAGGTTTAGTTTTCTGGTTTAGGCCGTTAAGCGTAGGGTGTAGTAGGGATACATTGTCATTAGTGTTTGTGTACTCCCAGTACGTTGACTTTGGGCCTCCGTGAATATTTTAACATTTTCGGACGCTAATGAAAAAGGTTTGTCCTTTGCAGTGACACAAGCAAGCTTAGTGCAGCAGCTGCTCTAATTACCGTGTAACTGTGTTTTGGAAATATATTAAGTATTTTTAAAGTTCACTTTTACTGCTAAAACTGCTGTATTTTATACTATTCTCCATGATGCAAAGGGCGTAGTAACGTAACGCGCTTTACGTTAAACCAACAGTGTGCGCGCGTTGGCTTTAAATACCCCCCATCCTTTGACCGGATTCCGCTATATTGGATTTGCCAGTACTGGATAATAGGGTAAATAAGCTCTAGTGATGTTTCACAGATTTTCTCATCCATATCGTAAAATAAAATATTCTAGGTGAAACACATAACCAAGTAGCTACACGTTCACAAGATAACCCAAAAAATATGTCAAGTCCAGATAATAACAATATTCCTTGATATTCGTAAGATGATCTACATCTGTGACTTCCACTTGACCCTATTTTTATGGGCCAGTAAAGTAAACGTATAATTAAGAAATGGACACCTTTCAGGGACTCATTATGAGTCTAACAAATTATAAAAGAATGGTTATTAATGTTTTAGGTGGATGTCATGGTTACAGGTTTTAATAAAAATAATTTCTACTAGGTTTTCGCATACACAGTAGATTAGAAGGATAATTTAAAAGATATAATAGATACGAGTACTATAAGTACCTGTGTATTGACACAAATCCATTTGAAACTGGCAGTTTAATTTGTGAAAAGTTATTATTATATTACGAGTATTTGATACTGTAGTTCTATTTTTTAAAGCAGCTCAGACTCTACTGCTCTTAACTGTTGTGGTTTCATTAACATCGCTGGCGTCGCCTCATTCCAGGTTACGATAATAAAGCTATTTTCGCTTCTCGATGGTATTCCGATATTGAAATTAAACTGATGGACTCCTGTAGTTAGCCACCTTTGTTGTGAAACTGTTTTGAATTGTCTGCTTTTAGTGTTTTTCACACCTTTTAATAATTGGCTTTACCATATTCGCTGTAACTCTTGATGTTTTAAGTAGATAGAAATACGGTTTTGTCGTTCATGGCTATTTACTTTGGTGATGAATTTTGGTATTTGAGGAATTCAGATGAGTAGTTCATCATTGCACTTTAAAGTTACCTACGCGGTTAACTACTAAAGAATCTGCAAGTTGTCATCCATCGGACAATCAGATCAGAGTCAAACCCTGTCTATTGTAGTTTTAAATGTAGGTACACAAATTGATATCTCTTCAAAAAGTACCCATATTACGAGTACTAAGGTACGATAAAAGAACACCCTCTAATCACTGAAATTTTCCAGTTGGATGCGTCTCTGCTTCCTCACTGACCCTCGAGGGAAGGTGCCAGTAAAAGTGGTGGCTCGGACCTTCGCCTCAGGCAAGACGGAGAAGCTGGTCTACCAGTGCCTGTCTGAGCTCGGACTACCAGCAGGGAAGAACGAAGCGATGGAGAAGGAAGCGTTCACGTTTGACAAGTTCTACGCTTTATACCACAAGATCTGCCCGAGGAACGACATTGAAGAATTGTTTCGATCTATGTAAGATATTTTTCGACTTTATTAGTAAGACGCAGTCGTCGGCGGGTACTTATTGACTATGGATTTTTTTTTACCTAATCTATTTAGTTTAACCATTAAATATGATTCCATACTCAGTCTAAAGTAAGGCCCAATTTCCACCAAGGCGGAGCGGAGAAGTGTTCTGAATAACCAATCAGATTTCATTATTCAGTAAACCAGGAAATCTGATTGGTTAAGAAGACAGTCACAGGAAAACACACCGCTTCGTCTTGATGGAAACCGGCGTAAGATTGAGAAAGTAATATGATGGCGAAACATTCAAATCGTAATGTTACCTATCCTATAATCTAGGCTTTTCCATAATTATTCTGTAACCATCTCCACAGCACACAAGGCAAATCGGACCGCATAAACCTGGACCAGTTCGTGAACTTCATGAATGAGAAGCAGCGGGACCCTCGACTCAACGAGATCCTGTACCCTCTGTACGACGAAAAGAGAGCGGCCGAGATCATCACCACGTACGAACAGAATGAGGAGGCTAAGAACGACAGTGAGTATCTTCAGATACCTATGGATTTTAGTTTTAGCTTGCCAGTGGAATCTAGGCTGCCGTTTTAAACATCCAGCATATTATCTATTGTTAGAGAACTCGTTAAATTTGAGACTAGGGGTTAGAAAGAAATAATAGTCCCACTTCTGGTTCCCACCGCTGCAACTCCTGTGTAGTTAGGATCTACAGCTTGACCGCCAAATTAGGGGTTGTGAACTCAGTTGTTACGAACCACATGGTAGTAGAAATCTCGTAGAAACATCTGGCTGCTTCTGAAGTCTTTCTAAGATACCCCACTTAATTTAAGTTGATAAAGCATCAAACTATCACCAACGGACTAAGGACATTCAATTATCAAGTTATAAACTTTATCTCTCTTGAATAATTTATAGGTGATAATAAAGCAGATCGAACCGACAAACTTCAACAAATAAAATTGCTCAATCTACTTCCAGAATGCCTCACCAAAGACGGTCTGATCCGCTACCTCATGTCAGACGAGAATGCGCCGGTGTTCTTGGACAGGCTGGACAACTATATGGACATGGACCAACCATTGGCCCACTACTACATCAATTCCTCCCACAACACGTATCTGTCGGGCAGGCAGTTTGGAGGCAAGAGCTCAGTGGAGATGTACAGACAAGTTCTGCTGGCTGGGTGCAGGTGAGTCAGAAATGGCATATGGTCTGTCAGAAAATGTCTCGTTTAGGATATTTCTATCAAGAGTCAGGACTGGACAGGTTTCTATCAGAGAGCATGTGAGAACAGTAACTAGATGGACCATGGACCAGCTATTGGCCCATAGGCTAATCTGTCATATTTCATTGTTTCTTTTAAATGTACGAGACATTTGCTGAATAGGGGTTTTCTGTCAGAAAGGTACATAGGCAAATGTCTCGTTTAGGACCTTATTGTCAGGACTGGACATGTTCCTACAAGAGGCGTTCCAGGGACAATTACGTGAATGAATATTCGGAATAAAGGCCATTAGAGTAGCTTTGTCTCTATAAACTACTCCACAATAAAGATACCGATATCCCTGTGTGTATAGTGCCGTAAATTGTGGCTTGGGAAACTATCTTACAGGCTTTCAACCTAAGGCTTCTTGTTTTCTCGGTTAAGAAGTTTTCATATCCCTATTAGATCATACAATCACGAGAAGATTGAAGGTTAGGAAAAGATTAAACGCAGAATCAAACTTATTAAAGTTCATAAACTTAGGTATAGCATTGATTAAGATCAAGCACAAAATTTGTGGATAAAGTTTCAATTTACCATGATTTACCAACATTTGGTTAGTTTGAAATTTACAATAGGTACAGTGGTTTCCTCCCTAACATTCATCCTGTTAAATTCGTACACATACTCACTCACTAATTGGATATTAAATACAAATAGTCTGAAACCAACTTATTCACCAATACCATAATTTGCTAAATCAAGCCATCAATCATAGGTACACAACACACTTCCGAAAGCTCTCGGCTTTACTCGCTCGCGGCCCACGTTCGAATGCCACAAGGAATATCTTTTTGTTATCCCGTACGACTCCCCGCGTTCCTCAGGTGTAATTTGATAGCCAAATCAGCGTTAATCCTTTCGTTGCTAACAATCCCATTGTTGCAATTCATTGCAAATTCATCGTATGGGACTGTTTGAGTTCACATCGAATCGATGGGTTTTATTAATATTCAGATGTTAGAGAGAATATTGACGTGTCTATCCAAAACCTAAATCCACAATAACTTTGATATATTTATGCATCTATAAGTAGGGAACTTTTAAATGATGAAACACAATTATAAGATACAGTTTACTTAGATGAAGTCAGATGCTTACTTAATTATTTGTGAATGAAAAAAGTGGACATAATCTGCCTCGAATTTCGTTTAAGAAAATACTTCAAAAGAATGCTAATTAATAGCTCGAGATAAAAATGGAGTCGTTTGCCAAAACGCATTATACTGATTAAGTTAAACTCCGATTACAGCTCTTCAAACTTTTAATTTGTCTTTAACGGACGTTTCGATAGCGAAAAGGCGGATTCGAGACCATCAACGGACGGCTTCAACTCCAAACTTGCTGTGTAATAATTAATCCGCGTATCGTGTAATCCAAAGCAAGACTTTGCCTCATGAAATAATCAACTCTGAATTAACTGGGTTAGCTGTCAAGAAATCGGATATTCCAACGCGCGGAAAGATGAAGGCTTGGAGTTTACGGATGAACTTAATTTAAATTGATTGAATCTTAATTATGGGATTAGGCGCTTAGTTGTGTTTGTAATAAACCGAAACAGTCAATCAATGGTAGTAAAATGGAGTTATGCTACCTACAGACGACCGTTTGATTTCGATTAACACATGGAAAGAGTTTTTGATTCAAATTGTGTAGATATCTAGGTACGATTTGACAAATTATGCTCCCCCTCTGTATGCTGAGCGTAAATATACTCAACATCAAATAAATCGCAGCTTCCGCGACGCGAACTTTAGAGATTTTCTTCTGACACAATCATGGTGCCCCAACAATATTGGTGTTATTTGAAAGCCCAATAAATAAACTTAAAGAAAAACTCATTATTTTTTTTCTAAACAATTATCAGGTACCTACCATAAATGTGACTTGAAAAAAGGCCTCACTTGGGGCTCACCTCTGGGACCAAGTAGACCAATTTTTGTGGTTATAAAATCTAATAATGATCTTACGTGTACTTTTTAACAGATGGATAGCAATTAATCCCAATTTGACAGTTTTATAGCCATAAAAGTTTGCTCAAGCGTAACTACCTATTTTTTTAAGAAGTGACTGTATCCTTCTAAAGATACATTTTGGGGTAAAAACCTTTCCTTTAATGGAATAAAGTTTAGAAATAGGCTTTCAAATGGTACCAATATTGGTGGGAAGTGGGGATGCATACGTTTGATAAGTGCTTGTCGCGGGAGGTGCGATTTATTTGATGCTGAGTGATGTGCCCGCAACTGTAACTGACTTTACTTTTTATTGCAAAACTTTTTTAAAACTTCAAATATCCTTTAAAACAAACTTTTTCCTTTCAGGTGCGTCGAACTCGACTGCTGGGACGGCAAAGGTGAAGATGAAGAGCCGATCATCACCCACGGCATGGCCATGTGCACAGACATCCTGTTCAAAGACGTCATCTATGCGCTGAGAGACACCGCGTTCGTGACGTCAGACTACCCCGTCATCCTGTCGTTCGAGAACCACTGCTGCAAGGCACAGCAATACAAACTGGCAAAGTACTGCGATGAGATCCTGGGCGATTTGCTGCTGAAGGAAGCGCTGCCTGATCATCCGGTGAGTTCTTATAAAATGTACGCGAATACTTCTAAAAGGTTTGCTAGGTTTCATTTGACATACTTAAGTTCGTTTTTTAAATAAGCAGAATTCCTTAGCACCAAACTAAGTGTAGCGTTTAGGTTTAGTGGCCAACACTGTTCCAACCCATTAACGTCTGTTTTACGAAATTTATTTTCTATGCATGGGTTTCAGCTGGAACCAGGAGTGCCGCTACCACCACCTTCCTCGCTGAAGCGAAAGATCCTCATCAAGAACAAACGGCTTAAGCCGGAGGTTGAGAAGCAGGAGTTGGAGCTGTTCCGACAGGGACAGTTCGTCATCGAGGATGAAGAGAAGGAAGACGCGTCTGCTGTAGCCATTCCAGATAAAAAGGTAATAGAACACTCTTGATCTAGAGCAAGAGGATTTAGATGTTCAATGAAGAAGGACCATGACTTGCCTTAATTGGCCTTGGCGCCACTTTAGAATTATATATTTCTAATTATAGTGTCTGAAATAAATTTATTGATTTGATTTAGAATTAAGTCCTATCGATGCCTACGTTCAATATCCTATTAACACTGCAATTACCTATATAGATAACTAGCTTTCCGCCCGCGGCTTCGCCCGCGTAGAATTTCGTTTGTAAAATTGTCCTGAATTTTTTTTTGCTATAAACCTCACGGAGCCTGAGACCTTTCCAACGAATGCAAAACCGTGGAAATCGGTTCGTGTGTTCTGGAGTTATAGCGTCAGGAAGGAAAACCCGACTTATTTGTTGAACATATAGTAGATATAAAATATGTGATGCAACGTATCAAACATTCAATAGCGAGAAATCAGGTTAATTCAAGCCTATGTTTTAATATTAATTTCCGAAAATCTTTGGATTAAGAAACAATGAGATTGATGTTGCCTTATCGCCTTCATCGGAAGAAAAGACAGTTAAATTTTCAATTCAATAAAAAAAGTCCACTTTTTTCCACAGCCCGAAGAAATAGTAGCAGAAGCAGCGACCGCGGGCGACGACGCGCCGCCGCCAGTCGCCTACACCGGCTCCACCACCAACGTGCACCCCTGGCTGTCTTCCATGGTCAACTACGCGCAGCCCATCAAGTTCCAGGGCTTCGAGGAGGCGGAGAGTAAGTTGATAGTTGCGGGAATATTTCCACCTCTCATTGAATCCCATCCATAGTCCATACCACTATAAATCTCGCGCAGGCAGCAGTCATATTACAGTAGTTATAGACTAGTACATAATATTACATATTACACAACGACCAAAGTTTAGAGCAAGATCGCACTACGTCCGAACCAAGAAAACTAATCAGAGAAATCTGAAGATGGAAACCGGATCTAGTGCGTAAACTAAAACATAGCCATACGACTAGTCCCGACCGTATTTTCATTGAATTGGATCAGACGTATTGCGAAACCGCTGTTACGTAGGATTAATGCATGTATGACAATGCAAAAATACATCGTCAACGTTAACCAACTTTAGTTTAATCTTTTTTCGCCATCACCATCTCAGACATTTAAATCATAAACCTTTTTGGAACCGAGATATCACACTCAAATCCCATTTTGTCTTCTTTCGCAGAAAAGAACATCTACCACAACATGTCCTCGTTCGCCGAGACCACCGGCATGAACTACCTCAAGCAGCAAGCCATCGACTTCGTCAATTATAACAAGAGGCAGATGTCCCGGATCTACCCCAAGGGAACGCGCGCCGACTCATCAAATTACATGCCTCAGGTACAAAAATTTATCTAATTTCCCAAATCTAAATTGTAAAACTAAAACAAACTGATAGACTCATTAGACCAAAGATCTGGTGATCGCGGGAGGTACCGTGATGGGCAGCGTAGGACCTGTCGTTTTTTTAGGGAAGATAAATTCTTGGAGGTGACGACCTTTATCAGTACATGCACGTCTTTTACAAATCATAAAGGCACCTCTTCACCCAAAACTTTTCTCCCCAGGTGTTCTGGAACGCCGGCTGCCAGATGGTGTCCTTGAACTTCCAAACATCCGACCTGCCCATGCAGCTAAACCAGGGCAAGTTCGAGTACAACGGGAACTGCGGGTACTTGCTCAAGCCGGATTTCATGCGGCGCGCGGATCGGTCTTTTGACCCTTTCGCTGATGCGCCCGTGGACGGCGTAATTGCTGCTCAGTGTTCTGTACAGGTACCGTAATAGTTCATGGTACTCAATAATTTTGTATGTGTAAATGAATATTCGATGACATCAAAGATTTCGGCACAATATGGCACCTATTAGAACTCAACAAAATGTCAAACTTAGGATCAGATAAAGTGTGCTGGGAGTAACAGCAAACGCTTTAACCATACCAGCTGCTCATTGCGCTGCGTAAACTATGGAAATAACTCAGAATCTTTGGTGGAAGACGAAATCTACAAACATGAGAATCATAATTAATTGGCAGTTTAGTGATGAATCTATAAATTACCCGGTAAATTTTCAAAGACAAAAAATCTCAAACAGGGTATTTTTATTGGCCATGTCCAAAACTAATAAAAGAAATGACCAATAATAATTCTGAAGAAAGTTTCGCGTCAATTATGATAAAAGTAAAGCTTCATCATCCCATTTTTGAAAAATATACCTAGCCAGAAGAAGAATCTTGTTCTATGGATTACCATACTGCACAAGTAGTTACATAAATATTGCCTCAAGTATATTCTGCTATGTATCCCGCCCGTATCTTCTAGCCGAAAAACTTTACGCCGTTGTCTTTTACAGGTCATAGCAGGACAGTTCTTGTCGGACAAGAAGATCGGCACGTACGTAGAGGTGGACATGTACGGGCTGCCCACCGACACCATCCGCAAGGAGTTCCGTACGCGCATGGTGCCCGCCAACGGACTCAACCCTGTCTATAATGAAGAACCCTTCTTGTTCAGAAAGGTATCCAAGGATCTTTGAACTACCAAAAACTAGTCAAATTACTGAATCTTCAATGAGGGCTATAATTTTTATAACGCGTGCAGATCGCCATCGCCGGCGCGATTATAGACTATTGACAGGTCGCGCGGACTGTCATGGGTCACGCGACCTGTCATTGGCCTATGATCGCGCCGGTGATGGCGATCTGCACGCGTTGGTGTGGTTGAAGCTTAACTGTGAGCACCACTGGTGAATGACAGGAACTTATTCTACAGTGCAGTGACGCCAACCGATAGCCCTCATTGTGTTACTAGACTCAAGAGTCGGCAACAGCCGTTCCAATCAATTCCACATTTCTATTTTCAAATATTTGAAGTCGGTGGAAGGTTCTCATGAAGAGGAGAAACGTGATGGGACTCCATTTTTCTTTCCCAACAAACTATTTACTCTTTATTTTAACTCTTATCGATTCGGGAAGAGTGACAGTAAAATTATTATGCTGCATTGCACCTAATACCTATTCGACACTGTTAAAGAGTCCCGACTCATAAAGAAATGTTATTGTATGCTAAATAACACTCTCATTTTGTCCCACCACAACTCCACCACTTGTAATGTGACAATAAAAGTGCAAATCGGCTAATCTCATATTCCATATTTAAAACAACACTCATATTCCAGGTCGTACTCCCGGACCTGGCCGTGCTCCGTTTCGGGGTATACGACGAGAACGGCAAACTTCTCGGGCAGCGGATCTTGCCCCTGGACGGTTTACAGGCCGGCTACCGTCACATCTCGCTCAGGACTGAAGCCAACTTCCCCATGTCACTGCCTATGCTGTTCTGCAACATCGAGCTGAAGATCTACGTCCCTGATGGCTTTGAAGGTATTGATTTTACCTAAAGCACCACCAAGGTGGACAGACCTTTTAAAGGTAGAGAAGACGAAGCAGGCCGCGACTAACCGACCAATTTAGAAATCATTGGAGGCCTATGTAGGTACCTACTGTGGCTGATGATGATAATGATGAAAGCTACTGCTCTGGTAAATCCCTGGTCTGTTAGTCGATTACTTTTGGCGTGTACGACTTAGATAGTTTGCCTTGAGCAACAATTAATGCCCTTAAGTATTTGATACACCTATGCGCAAAGATCTACATCCCTGAATGCTCACTTGGCTTTAAAAGTTGCATACAATCTCAGATCTGATCTTGAAAATCGTGATTTGTTTTGCGACAATGACAATCATACATTATAATAAGGTGTAGAAACCTGTAAAAGCGAAAAGTAAATCTGGTCGAAATATTTGTAAGTATAAAGTACAAGTCGCGCTGTCGCTTATGAGGGCCCTCAAGGAGAGATCTGACAGCAAACACACATTAATATAATGTTTTTTTCTAGACTTCATGGCTGCGCTGTCGGATCCTCGCGCTTTCATGGGGGCAGCCAAGGAGAGAACTGACAACATGAAGCAGATGGGAATCGAGGAGAGCGGGCCCGAGAAGAAGGTGCAGATTGAAGAGAAGAAGGAAGGTACGAACACACAAAAAACAGATACTGATCTTCATGCTAATATTAAATTGAAAGGGAATATTTTTAGGAAAACCAGTCTAGTAATCACTTGCTTACTACTTGCAAAAAACATGCTTACTCTCAGAAAACACGATAAAATCGTCTAAATAACAAAAGTAATTCCAGACATCCAGTTTTTATGATCGTAAATATTGATGGCTTAGCAAAATTTTGTCTACTATTTTACATAAGTACAAGTTCAAAAATAAACACAGGTAAATCCCAAGGTCTAAGCCGCAATTATCAGAAGCTTGTAAACCAGCTAATGGTAATGATGCAATCCCGCAGATGTTTAAAAGTTTTTAAATTATAAATAAAACTATTTCTATAATGTTAACCCTATCATTCGATTAGATTTAGTTAGAACGCAGCCAACACGAAACGCATCCGATGATAATTTTAAATCTGTTTACATTACGAGTACTGTAAATAGCCGCGGTCGTAAACGAGTTTACGCCAAAACGCCAAACGTGTATGACAGGGGCGTATTTTGAGATCTTCCATGTAATAGGAATGAGTAGTGAACTCATAGCGATATTATTATAATCAATTTTGTAAACACAAAAAGGTGTAACTTTCAAATTAGAGGTCAATGAGTCCGTATTTTTTGTCATATTAAACCTAAGTAGGTACAGACAAAGGGTCGAGGTCCCGGACCTCCCATCAAATCTATACGTATAATAAATCTGTAGAGAGGTCAATTCTGTACATGAAATATATTTTCAAAATAACTATCAGGGGGTGATTAGTGATCGATACTGATGCCAAAAATGCAATCAGTAAAATTTTTGTCTGTCTGTCTGTCTGTCCGTCTGTATGTTCCTTATAGAAACAAAAACTACTCGACGGATTTTAACGAAACTTGGTACAATTATTCTTCATACACCTGGGCGAGTTATAGTATACTTAGGAATTCCCACGGGAACGGGAATTAGCGGTAAAATCATTTTCTATGAAAAATCTAAACCGCTTTTAGACGCTTGAAATTTGGCATGCAGGTACCTTATTAAACTTAAAGCTTAGTTACAATAGGATATTGCAAAACTCCCACGGGAACGGGAGTTAGCGGAAAAAAACATTTGTATGAAAAAATCTAAACCGCGTAAGATAGATGAAAGGGGTAAAACGGGATCCACGCGTACGAAGTCGCGGGCGGCCGCTAGTCGATTCTATAACTTGGAAGTTTTTACGTCTTTTCAAATTTATAGACAGTTACCGCATAACTATGAAAGTATCTAAATTTAGATATGCGTAATATTGAGCATGAATGAATGATTTAGTTGAGTATCTCTTTAATATCCTACTTCAAACAAAAATCTAGTTTAAAATTAATTCCGATTCAAACGTTCGGCGCCAGACAGCATCCGAGTTAAAAATAATCGCTATAAAAACATTTTCTATCGAGTTCAGATTCCGATATTGGACGTGGTATAAACAAAATTAAATACAGTCGCTGTTTACTTGCACCGCTGTATAAACGTGTATATCCTCGACTTACACCCACCTCCAGTTTCATCTGCTTAATTCTGCTTCAATAAATGTGCGCGTAAGCACAAAGAGTGCACTAATAAAGATTTTGATAGCACGGGAAGTTTTGAAGTCTTAGAAGAATGGATTTACTATCAACAAACATTGTAGGTAATAATGTTCATTCAAATAGTGCTTTTTTACATTATGAATTATTATCATATTCTTCAGTTGAAGCTCGTTGGGCTTGCACTGATTTTGCGTTGTGTTTTAATTTTTGAAAACATGATCCGTCGTCAAAGAATTATCAGGGGAGGTACAATTTTGAATTTTCACAAAATTCCATAAATGTAATAGCAATGCTTTTAATAAACCCTCTAGTTCACTGACCAATGGTTAACATTCTAACAAATAAATCCCCAGAGCCCCCCCTGGTGTTCGAACCCATCACAGTGGAGTCTCTCCGCCAAGAGAAGGGCTTCATCAAGACCGGCCGCAAGCAGCAGAAGGAATTGGAAGCCATGCGCAAGCGCCACACCAAAGAAAAGATGGCGCTGCAGAAGCAGCAGTGCGCCGCGCTCGAGAAAATGATCAAGGGGAAGAAGTGAGTAATACTTGTCGATAAAAGTAGAAGTTTCTTTGAATGGTCTTAGTTTTCCAATAAGAATAACTTATCACAGTTAAAGTTAGTCAACTTTTTCAGTAAAAATAATGACGCTGAATTATCAGCTTAATTAACGTTCCACTTCAGTCTATTTCCTGTCAGACATATTGTTTGCACCCTTTGAGGGCTCTCGAACTTGCGTTCATCATACCAATTGGTGGCACTCGCTAGTGAGTCAATACTAAACGGACCACTTGGCGCCATTATTGGTGAGTAAGATTATGCCACTCGAGTGACTATGACAGTGGCCAACTGGTGAGCGCATAGAACTGAAGGGCGTATTTCCACTCACCACTAACGATTAGACATATCCGATTGGCAGAACCTTACTTGCCAGTGGCGCCATCTGGTTAACGCTTAAACCTCAAGAATGCTTCCATATTGCGTTGACTTTTAAGCCAGTTCTCCAAACATTCTAACCCATATTCCTATCACAGCAAGGACCAGCTAAGCAACGACCCGACATTCCGGAAGCTGGTCAACGAGCAGTCCACAGCATGGAGCGAGCTGGTCGCAAAGCACCGAGTGGAGGAGTGGACCAGTGCCAGGAGCCGTCTGAATGAACAGAGGGATCTGCTGAAGAAGATGATGGAGACCACGCAGCTGGCCCAGATGAAGCAGCTAGAGGGGAAGCATGAAAGGTAAGATACACTATTACTAATATGGAATACCTATAGCAGCAAAAAATAAAACGACGGAAAAGATCCCTATATGGATGTATAAAATCTCTGGATTTCCTTTTTCTTTAATTTCTCTCTCTAGGAAACCTAATGTCACAAACAAAACAATTCCCCATAAAAACGTCGATTCTAGTTTTCTAAAGGATACTATCGTTTCAACCAAATGAAGTCCACGGCTGGAAAAAGCCTCTCCAAGGAAAAACCTCATTTCTGTTCATTTGCTATACATATTTGATTTTTGTTTCATTTGAAATCAAAAATTCAATAAGTTGACTTTGAAAAACAGATCCCATAACTGCTGGTGGTGTCTCTTACTGCATGATTTTCTCACGTTAAAGAGAGTCAAGATAAAACTAATTTACAAGGTGTGCAGTAAAATGGTAACATAAAAAATACGAGGATAATAAATAACGTGACTATTTTCCCCAGGGAGCTGAAAGACATGAACGCCCGTCAGGCCAAGATCAGCATGGAGACGAGCAAGGAGGTGGCCAACGACAAGACCCTCAAAACTAAGCAAGAGAAGGACCGCCGTCTCAGGGAGAAAAAGCAGAACAACACCAAGAAGTTCATGGACGAACGCAAGGTAAGTTTGTTCTTATACTTTCCTAATGGTAATATCTTAACTTACTAATATCTTACTAATATTATAAATGCGAAAGTTTGGATGTCTGGATGTTTGTTACACTTTCACGCAAAAAGTACTGAACGGTTTTTTTGAAACTTTACAGTATTATTGTTTGTAACCCAGATTAACATATAGGCTATAACAGTGTTTTTCAAACTTTTTCATGACACAACCCCCTAGTATAAAAAAATATTTTGCGACCCCCGAACGGTCGTTTTTTTTCATGCATTTTATACAATTTCAATTTTTTCACCCATACAACATTTTATGCATTTGAAAAACTAGATTTCTGATATATCTGTCTTTATAACTTTACTGTTACTTTTACTTTTACTTTTTTACTGAGGTAAGTTTTTACCTCTCGCGACCCCCCTATAGATGCTTGGCGACCCCCTAGGGGGTCGCGACCTACAGGTTGAAAAACACTGGGCTATAATTTATGCCGATCTGTGACACTAAATTTCACGCGGGTGAAGCCGCGGGCAAAAGCTAGTATGGAATAAAAGAAAGAAAGATAGGTACATTTATTACTATGGATATTAAAAGACAGAGGTAACACATAAAACATAACAAAGAAAGGGAAAGTGAACTGTAAGTACCACTCTGTCGCAACAATGATGCCCATTGCAATGGGACCCCACTCAGCATATACCGTGGCCCATAGTGAAGGCCACGACGCTGGTTTTCAGTGTGCCTGAGTAGACTTATTGTTCCGCAAAGAAGAGATCAGAAAAGTAAGGAGTTTCAAATTAGATTTTCTAAAAAAACCAGCGTGTTAGCTTATTTAAAAGTACCGTGAAATACGAAATGTTGCCTCAGAATGAAATATTTTTCCAGACTCAAACCATCAAGCAGAACCGAGAGAAGGAAAAGCTGAAGGTGACCCATGACAAACAGATGGAGGAGTTGTCCAAGGATATTGACAACGTGAGTACTAAAGGAGCAGTGTTCTGCTGTTTAACTATTCAAATTCTCTGTTAAAACTCCTTTTGTCCACGCCTACTGTCCGAACACAAATACAGCTTCTACTGTGACCACAAAGAGACAATCATTTCGGCTGATAAACGGCTGAAGAAATCAGTTCCCCATATCAGCCTTTCTTTTCACCAATCATGTAAGATGTGTGATTGAAAGGGTTCCTGGTGATCTTTGAGGAATGGACAAGCAACGAATGATGAATATGTTAAAGACTTCTAATAGTAAAATGCAAACTTATCTATTTCCAGCTCATCGAAATGTACAAGATGGAGGAGTCCGAGTTCGACATGGCAAGTAAAACGGAGTTCTTTGCATGAAAGTATCCGGACATAGCTCCGTTACTGGAGCAAATGACTTGAGAAGTGAGTGCTAAGTGATCTCTTCGACTAGGCTAAGGACCATAGCTGGGCATTAACTCGTTAATCCGTTAATCGTTAATTAACGAAGTTAACATTTCTATAACGGATTAACTTTTAAGTTAACTTTAAAAATTGTTAACGGACTCGTTAACTTCCGTTAAATTATCCTAAGTCCGTTAATCGTTAATCCAGTACCTACTATTTACCAAAAAGATACAGCAGGCACGCTGAAAACGCTATAAAAACGCGTTCTGACAAGTACGTTCGGGCTTCCAGAACTTCCAGAACCCAAAACAATAGTTTTTGTAACCAGAAACCAGATCACTAACGACACTTGTTAGTATGTATGTGTGGGACAACTCTTGCAACTGAATTTAAGACCAGTTTTCCTCAACCGATTGAGCTGAAATTTGGTATACTTATGTAAGTACGATGATAATGCAATGTTATAATACCATTCAACCTGGTCTGATGATGGAGTCATGAGGTGGCCATAGGAACTCTTAAATGAAACGGCGGCATCGCATCGAATTTGGATTCGTTGGATTTGTCTTTTCGAGCACTTTAGTACTAGATGATGTCCAGGGTCTTGATGATGGAGTCGGGAGGTGGCCATAGGAATTCCTAAACGAAACGGTGGAAGCTTATCTAAGCTAAGCTTAGGGTGATTTAACTTATTTATTTTATTGACTGTTAATGAATTTGATTGAATTGAATTTATTTATTTATTTGGTTTTAATTGATTGAATTTAATTTGATTTTTAATTTAATCACATTTTAATTGATTTAATTTAATATTTAATTTTTTTTGGTTTTTAATTTAATTATAATATTGATATTATGTATGTACATTGGAAAATAATAATCGATTGAGATACTACTAAAAAGTGTAAAATAAAATTATAATAGTTAATTAAAAAAACTTTTTTAAAACAAGCTTTTATTCTGAAATGCAGTTGTACTAAAAGCAAGGTTCAAATAATTTCGAAAGCTTGTAGCGCAAACATAAAAGAGGAATAAATTCCATGCGCGATAGGTACAAGCTTTCGAAATTATTTGAACCTTGCATACAATTATTTTTTTCGTTTTATTATTATGTGTTAACGGATTAACGATTAACGTTAACTTGCGTTAAATCTTGCGAAATGTAACGTTTTAACGTTTAACGAAGTTAATTTTTTTATTAACGGTTTAACGATTAACGAAGTTAACTATTTGATTAACGGTGCCCAGCTATGCTAAGGACATCTCCCACTTTCGTACCATAGACACCAAAAGTTCCTTATCTTATAACTGCAGGCGGAAACCAAATAAAGGTCATAGTACACTTATCGACTAGGAAAGGGGTTAACAACGCCTTTCGCCGCGCGGTCAACCGCGAGGCAAGGCATTTACGATACGGTACAGATAAATGTGCGTTGCAGTACGGAGTAGTTTCATACAAACGCCTCGAGCTGATACGGTTATGATCCGTATCTGGGTTGATAAGTGTGCTTCGTCCTTGAGTCTTCAAAAGTTGTCAGCATGCCAAATTATTAATTCCAAAGTGTATCGATTGAAAACGTTCAAGTTCAGTTCTTGATATTATGGTTTATCAATTCATATATTTCGAGACGTTATGGTAGATTTAATTAGCATGCAAATGCAAAAGGTGTTACTGTACTGTTAGCACCATAAGTTAAGAAACTGCTGACTTATCTCTCAAGAACTAACATAGTCAAAAGTTTCGAATGTATGTCGTATCGCCTTATTTCCTTTATATTGTAACTGACTACATTAGTTTTAAGACTGTTAGGTACGTAAGAGCTAGAGGAAATTAGTACATTCATACCTATACTATAATTAAGAAAAATGTTAAAACACATAACGTTTTAAATTGCCAAATGTTACACGTTTGACCATGAATCTCGTAGATTACTATTTTCAAGTTAATGTGTCTTTCTTGGAATTTAAACAGCCAAGTAGTGGAGGAGAAAGAGGGCAGTCTACCTCGCCATAAAAATGGCCAAATAATTTGGCTAATTATTAAATATTTATTAGATAAGTATAATTAAGATTTGGGGGGGGGCTGCAATGCTCCCCTGTTCCTTACTCACGAATATATTCGAATTCGAATGACGGTTGAAGAAAAGTGCAGTGAGGAAATATTCTATCCATATTTTTACCTACGACTTCGTTCATCGTTAACATTAATTATTTTATATAAAAAATAAGAGTACATATTCGATTCCTTGTTATGAAATTATTTCGGAAGTTAATATTATTATTTTTACTATTATTAATATATTAACTAAAAAATACATTTATATCGAATAAATTGAAACGAGTAAATTATAATATTGATAAAAATTGTATGTAATAAAATGTAAAGTGATTGTTTCGGCCTTTGGAAAAATTTTAATAAGTAAATTAAATAAAGGTAATCATAAGCCTATACCTATATCTTAATATTTTTAATAATTTAATGTAACTAATATTTCGTTCTTTTTACGGGTTATATAAATGTTCTTTCATTTTAATAACTTGTTTAAAGTGAATTCTAGTCTCTTCTTCTCTATCTTAATATATTGTTTTCGACATTACTTAAATACTAAACTAAGATATAAAAACTTACATGATGTAATAATTATTACATAATAAGTATTCTTTTTTATTGTATGTATGATTTTTTCATGATCAATTTTTTGTTAGTGTTTTAACCAATTTATATTATTTAAATCTTTTCTGTTTAACCAAAGTTGTCATTAATATGACATGGGAACAATTATGCAATTTTAAGTTATAATAATCTCTATTGAAACTCAATCTATTTCTATTAACTAATTATTAATAGTTTGTGTAAATGAAAGATGATTAAAAATTGTCATTCCATTTCATTTTTATATGTGCATCTTGTTGTTAGTGGACCAAACTTTCCTATTTCAAATTGTAATTTCATAAATAATAGCTAGATTCTTATAATTCATTATCACTCTAATAATTATTATGATTATTAATTTATAATAAAGTAAGCTGATTGTACCTATTAATAGTTGTTATTGCAAATTTCAAATAACCTGTTGTCTGAATAATATAAATTCATATTATTATCTAATCATTTATGTAGAAATAATGATTTCCATATTTTATATTGTATTATGTAAGTATCTGACTCTTTTCAAGTCAATATTGGGTATAATTAATTTGGGTAAAATTATTATTCTATAGTAGATAATATTTTGATTGTAATAAAATCGTTATGGTGGCAGCGCTACCATTCAATTAAACGGTAAGTGGATTAATATTAAGAGAAAATATATTAATGTTTTATTTATTTAAAGCAGGTGCCTTATGCACCTTGGAATTAATAAAAATCTAGTCAAAATCATCATAGAATTTATTTTTGGAAAAAATTAAAAAGAAATGTGACGGTACGAAATCAAGTACAGTATTAGCGGAAAGTAGATAATTTATTTCTACCTAATCCTTACTTCTGATTGTGCCTTATGAAGGCACATCACGTAATAATATTGTCTGGCAAAAAATATCATTCAAAAATATTATTATTCAAATTTATTTATCAAAAACGATTAGTATAAAGAACTTTAATCTATTATAGTAAGTTAGTGAGCAATGACTGCTCTTAGAATTAAAAAAAGATAGTGAGAATAAATATAAGTGTTTCTTAATGTTTATGATTATATTTCAAAATCTATATTATTGAATGGTATGTTAAAATTATTGGTATTGCACTTATTGACTTTGGATAGTAAAGTTATTCACTGTTATAATAAATTTATATTCGAAAAATTATGTTGAAATTATAACGAAATTACTGGATTAGTTAAGTTTTTTGGAATTGTGATAATAAAACATGTTAATCAATTTGGCCTATTGCATATTATGTATAAATTAAGTTTATTAAAATTTAATATTTAATTTACCTACATAATAATAATATGTAAATTATATTTTATTTAAGCAAAATAATAATTTCTTTAAATAGTTTGTTCCTCATAGATTGTTAGTAATTTGTTTTGATTTGTATTAGCACAGTTAGCACATAAATTTGTCTTGATATGGCACATTTCAAAAATGAATGTAATCAGCACTAATATGTATTTTGAAATTTAAATTGCATACTGTTATCAACCGTTTAGAATAAGAAGAATGAAAGAAGTAAAGCATATATTCTAAACTCATTATATTGACATATTTAGACTCATTGCTCTAATGAAATCAATGGAATTTGGTATGGAATATTAGTAAGCAGTACTTAAAACCAAATTTCATGGTTTGCTAGTTACCTAACATAGTGAAACACATGTAATCCAAAGATTTGTTTATTGATTAAAGTACAATAACTAAATTATAACATTTTAAATATACCACTGTCTATTATTTCTACCTACTAGAATAAAATATGATTTACCTAACTTGACTTGATGCTCCTGATTTTCTTCCTTTCTTTGTAAAGGCTCTCGTGTTGAACTGAAATAATTAAAAACATTATAAATTAGGGAACAGAACCATAATTGGTTGTTTTGTCTATGAATTTAAATTATCAATATTCTCTGCAAAAAATTATTTAGTACACTAAAAACATAAAGAGGAAAGATTTGTGAACGTCAGAATTTCGGATGTATTGTCCCAGAAATGAATACTATAAATATGAAATAAATCTGTCTTATATCATGTACCTTTAGTTATTTTTCTTGTACCTCCATAAAAAGGGAACAATTACAAAATGAGCTACACATTATGATAAAAAAATTAATTGGACGATTAATTTGGAAAAGATCCTAAATTAAATGTCTGACTAAAAGTAACTCACATTAAAGTAAGAAGCAACAGTATGTAACACAGCAAAATTGTCATGAATTCATGATGATCACCATCAAGTACTCTACAGCAGGAGTGTGAGCCTCTCTAATTTGATTAGTTAATGGTAATTTTACCATAGGTAAATAGAGGTTTTAAGTTGGTTGAGTTGATTTTTCTTTCTTGCTTTGCAAAAATAATTAATCATTATGTGACAATACTTATCGATGTGTACCGCATATTTCTTATGTGGTACCAAGCTAAGATGCTAGTTGTATATAAAAATAGAAATAAAGTTCCTTACTGTAAGGATCAAAGCGCATCAACTCCAACTTGTCAGCAAGCCTTTCTCTGATTGTGACGAACTTATGACCACTCACAGCACTCTCCATCAACACCATCACAAGCCTAAAAATAAATAATAAAAGGTAAACAACATTAAAATTTAGCTTTTACTAACGTAACAGTAAAAGTAAGGTTATGTATCTTACTTGCTTTTCGCTTTCTTCATTAATATGTTCGTTAGAAACATATTGCAAACTTTATACACCAATAGTGTTACAGACCAGTTTATCTAATTATTTTATGCAATTTCTTTAATTTTTATTCCACAACATACACATTCTAAAATCTAATTTTTTTTTCTTTAGTTCCAGATGTCAATGTCAACAATGTCATGTGTCATGTTACTGACAGTCTGACTTACGAACAGATGACACCGGTGTTTCGCCAAAACCCAAGTATACACTATAGAATCATCAATCATCTCAAGCGCATCAACAAGGATGACCCACGCTGTACTGCCCCAAAAAAATTCAATGACAGGGGGCGATACCATCGTTCAACTAAATGGTTTCCAACATGGCAAAAATCGGAACCAGCGATCCGGTATTGACGGTGGCGCCCCACTGTCAATGTCATGCTTAGCCGCTTAGGACAGTTTTGGAACTAGGTATAGGCATTTTATTTGTCTAATGGCCGTTTTCACCTTCAATTCCTACTTTTAAGGTACCCCTATGAAAACAAAATTCATGTTATGTGTTACTATAGGGGTCACTTATAAATTAGGGATTAATGGTGAAAACGGGCATAAGGCTGATTCTTTTAACTGAAGAATAAACTATCTTTATTTACAATAAACAGATTTTTTTTTAAACTAAGGCAAACTTAACTCCAAATAAAATAAATATATAAACTTACTATTTTATTTTACTCAAAAATAAAAGTGTGTCCGTGAGGCAAAGAGGCGAGGATGCTGGCTGCATTTCCTCGCTGAATGGCAATACTAAGCCTTTGTGCAAGGAAAGAGCCAGCATTTAGATTTTCCGAAATTTTAATTAATTTAGGGGAAATGGTAATTTAGCATTCGGTCCCCAAGGTCCGAAGGTCTGGACACCAAAAGGCGCAAATATGTAATCATTAGAAAGTGACTCATATTTGCGCCGTTTGGCTAACTCAGCCGACTCCGCTGCAGCCCCAGCTTTAGCAACTGATTCCCTGAGGTGGGAAGGGGCTAAAGTATCGACACAATTGTAGCGTCCCAAACTAAAGCCCGTCCCCGTTCCCAGGGAACCAGAGTGAGACCATCAGGTCTCTTGCCATCATCACGGACCAATCCACGTGGTTCTAACGTAGACGGAACGTTGATGCTGGCAAGGGCTCTCCTGATGGCGTCATTGAGAGTAGCGTGTCGGGCGAGACGACCAGCACTTTGCTGGCAACATAGACCGTGGTGACCGAATTGGTCCACCTCTTTGCCACAGGGACACACACGTAAGTATGTGGTACACATACATATTGGTGCTCCGAGGCGTAAGCCTACACACACCCGGAAAGAATCGTTGTCAAAAAATGTTCCGAGATTTTTGGAGGGAAGTGCATTCAGCCAATGACCGGATTTCCTACAAGAAACTGCTAAGAGCCTAGCTTTGTTAGTATCACTGATAGAATTTTGAACAAGATGGTTAAAATTCTCTTTCGCTAGTGGGGCGTACCTGAGTTTTTGATGATGACGTTCCTTTGGGACGTCCTCAGTAGTTGAAAATATTTAGCGCAATCGGGGCCCAGACCTCTAAAAATTCTACATTGTCCTTCGAAGGCAGTCACTTTCTATCATATTCATAGCCTATAATAACTAAAATGACTTGTTTATTGAATACATTAATTAATTTATCATCCATTTCATACCCAGCCATTTTTTTTTTTTTATTTTTTATATTTTTTTGGAGTTTCGGCTTTTATTATCGGCACACATCGCACGTCTCTATTTGCGCAAGAAAATATTTTTATTTTGAAACCATAGACAAACTTTGAAAATATGCCACGCGAACAAAAATTTATAAAAATTGATGAAATTTTGACAGCCACAAAATATTCAGGCACGTGTAGATTTCTTTTACATTTCCCAGTAATTTTATTTGATTTGTGAAACTTATAGGAAACTGGATAAGTTTATCAGAAACTTTATACCAATTTACAACAAAAGGGCAACAAATCCTGGTAACATTCCGAAAACAAACTTGTCGTGTGATGATGAACTTGTGAACCGGCGTTGGTTGGCGTTTTCGTGACTGAGTTTTTTTGTGTTCATTCTTTGTTCAGTATCCATGTCGCAAATGAAATAATCAACATAAACGTAGTGTGAGTCTCATTAGTATTTTCGTTTCTGTAGTGTAGTATATCATTGAAGAACAATGATAAAAAACGAAATGGAGAATGGCGGCGGCGACGCTAATTCCAATGTGTCACCGACCAAACTCATGGTCAATTATATTCCGGAGTTGATGACAAGAGACATGATGTACGCTTTGTTCTCCGCAATGGGCAAGATCGAGAGTTGCAAACTAATAGCGAACAGAGGTTATGGATTTGTCGAATACGAGAAACACGAGGATGCAGAGAAGGCTCGGGCGGCGTTCAACGGCCTCCTTATGCAAGGAAAGACTCTAAAAGTGTCATTCGCCCTGCTCAATCCCGAAAACAAGGTCAGTCACAAGCCCGATACCGAATCAAACCTCTACATAAGCAATCTACCTCCCGATATGACGCTAGAGCGTCTGAATGCCTTGTTCGGTCAGTTCGGAAACATCACTAACAGTCGGGTGTCGCAAGGTATCGGTTTCGTGTGCTACGAGAGCCGGCAGCAGGCTGAGGAAGCGATAAAACATATGAACGGACAGACTCCCATACCGGGAGCCGGCGCGATAGTGGTAAAGTTCGCGAACAAGCCCAGTGCGAATAAGAATGCGCCTCGGCCGACTCCGAGGGTCGGGGTGGGCGCCACGCCGCTGGCGTACAACGGTGCGGCGGCGGTGTTCAACGGGGCGGCCCCGGCCGCGTTCAACGGCACCAACTTGAGCGCCGCATTCGGAGCGCGGCCGGCCGCGTTCGCGCCTGGTTTCCCGCAAGCCTCGCCGCCACCGCTCCTGCCGTCGCCGGGCAAGGCGCTGCCGTTCATCAACAAGGGCCAGCAGCGCTTCAACCCCATGGCGGCGGCCAACCACACGCCGCTGCCGCTGCTGGGCGCGCCGGCGAGCCCCGTGCCGCTGCTGGGCGCGCCGCCGGCGCCGCATCAGACCACAGTGTATGTATACAACATTGGTGAGGACACTGAGGAACTGGCATTATGGCAACTTTTTGGCCCTTATGGTGCGATCGACTCCATAAAGGTGATCAAGGATCCAGAAACTAAGAAAAACAAGGGTTTCGCTTTCGTTAATATGCGTGAATATGATGAAGCTGCTATGGCCATACAGGCGCTCAATGGATACACGCTCAATGGACAGGTTTTATCCGTTAGCTTTAAGACGCAGAAAAGAAATAATTAGGATGTGAACGGACGTTCAAAACGCCGTTTTATTTGTGATTGTTCCCAGGCCGAAAGCTTAAAAAGAAAGATTTCATTCCAATCTCAAAATATTTTTGTAGTCGAGAAGCGAGATCCTCTATATGCATTTTAAATTAGTCGCATAAGTATTTTTGTAAGATTTAACATAGTTTTATATTCGCGAGAGAGCGACATGACTATCTGTGAGTTTAGTTGGCTTGACAGTATCATATATGTGTACCCATTTTATCGTATGATATGGTATTATATTATTGGACTATGTATGGACCTGTCGCACTATGTATCTCTCGTGGGGGCAAGGGCGCGCCCCGCCTCGCTAGCTGCGTGCCCCTGCCCTCACCATAACCCTCCAGGTATTTTATTTTGTGTAAAACAAAGCATTGTATGTTTTTTAATCTTTAATAAATTTCATGTTTAAATAGATTTTATTGTATATTTCTCTATTTTTTTTCTATATACTTATTCCCCTCCCTGTTGTGTCCTTATTTACTTACATAATATACGTAATCCATTCTATAATTATTTGTGGCAGTAGTTTAACATGTACATAATATTTAATTGTGTGTATTGTCTCGGCGGCAGGTCAGCTGTGTAAAACTGCTTTAGTATTGCATGTTGTGTAGTGAAAGAACAAAAATAAGTTTTTATTTGTTTATGTTACCTCAGGGTTTATAGCTGTCGTTATTGTTTTTTCCGTTAATATTAGTTACTTATTAAATATTATTTTTGGCGTTATATCAAGTCAGGCCTACTAGATGAAACAAAATCTCATGTGAAATTTTTATATCTTATTTATTTTCGACGTCGTCATGGACGCGTTAGAGATAGCTTTAATATCCTAATTATAAGGTTTTGAGTCAGTCCATTAGTGTAGTATAGTTTAACTGATAAAAGTACATACTAATGTTTAACTGCGTAAACAATCCAGTGACAAAAAATACTTTTTATCTTACGCGCGCGTCCGTAGGATATAGGAAACTGATAAGATAATTCCAAACAGTAAAGTGGTCCAAAATGCCAACCTCTGAAACTAGTTTATAAATAATTACAAGTGATAATCTAGACTGCCACAAATAGGTGCCCTTATTAAGTATTCGATGCCTCCGTGCCTCTTACTTGGGACAATTATACCAAACTACAGTTTTAGGAGTGAAAGTAGAAAGTAAGTATGTTTAACGCGGTGATATGGTGAGTAATACTATTGTTTTTTTTTTAATAAAATATATGTAGGTAGGTCTACCCTAATGCTGCTTTTACACTGCGCGGAAATTAGCCAAGTCAAGTGAAAAAAACAGTGGGGTGGTGATAAAAAATGAATGAATTTCATCCCCACTCCTCTGTTTTTTTTGACTTGACTCGGATAATTTCCGCATAGTGTAAATCCAGCATAAGAAAAAGCGAGCAGAATGTGATTAGGCGGTCTTCTCGCTAGAAGCGATTTCTTTCCGACAACCTTTATGTTCTGTAGGTAACCATTGGGTAATTTCTTCTAGTCAATTTAAAATCGTTTGGTTATTCAATTATTTTTTCTAGAATTTTTATTGTGTTTGGGACTGCAATTATGGTGGGGTAGCTGAATCGATACCTCGCGTTGTAATCGTAGATAACACGGTCTATTGCACTGATAATCCTTGTTAAAACTAAACCTCAATATCCGTCAAGGATACATTACAGATTTCCTACGCTGGCCCTTAATGGATAGTATTAATGGATAGTATTCCGTAAAAAAGGCTTAAAACCGAGCCAGACGACGGCCATCCGACGGCTGGCTCCGTCGGGTTCAATGTTAGACGTGCCCTTCTCAAGGGCAATGGTCTGCAAATATTTTCGTCCGTATCTACTCTCGATAAATTGCAACGTTCTCGGTGGTTTCAAGATAGTACAATAATGCATTATTAGGTAGGTATAATAGCTACCTACCGAAATAGTTACTTGATACGGTGTACAGCCTCTAAAGGTTCAATTACCGACATATAAAAATAGAAATGTATATGCCAACTTATCTGTGATCGTCAATCAGTGAATTTTGGATCTAGGGAAGCAAATATTTGCACTCGTCCCTAATTGTTTTAAACCTGCTTCGGTTACAAAATAAAAGATCGATGACCAACTACCTACAAAAGTTAGACGGTTTATTTTCCGTTAGTTAGCTGAGCAGTCTGAATGTAAGGCTTCTGTCTGCTAGTTTACACCCTCGATGTAGAGATTTGTAGAAATCCCTAATTTTAATGTTAAATAATAAGGTAAATTATGAAAATATCGCGAAGACAATGCGTTAGTAATGTAAAAAGTAGTAATAATCTTTTACGATCAAATCGATTTCATTACTTTCAAGAAATGATAAGAGTTTATTGATTTTCCAATAAAATAAAGTGAAACTTATTTAGCATAGCATAGCATTTTTTACAAAACACGCATGTAGGTGGCCGTGGCCTTTACAGCTACATTCATATGACAAGTAAAGGGCAAGTTAGACCGACAAACTCGAAAAAACTAGTCTAGTAGGATCATGATTCATGTTATTATTCGTCTCTAAGACCTTCATGAATCCCGTTGATTCAGATCAAATAAATTTTTTATATAAATATTTCTGGCCGAATTTAATCATTCAATGTTTATTTTTCCCTTGCACCGTATTCGTTTGCGTAGAGACTGTATGATAATTACTTGTTCGCATCAGGGACTGCTCCGAACTGGTTGTTTTTTTATCTCTGTTGCCAACTTGCCACTCGGGCGGCTACGGCCATCGCCATGTAAAATTGTAGACATCATCAATTTTAATTGAGATACTTTTATTAATAGCAAGAAAATGCTTTTTAGCGGTGATTTCATCTTTCTGCGGATAAAGAATATCAAATGTTAGGATACTATGAATGTTTATAGTCTGAGCTGCTTTTAATGACTGCCTACGTATTATTATTAAACTAAGATTAACTTTATCGGCAGCTAAGTTATCGTTATTGTAAAAGTTGTTATTTTACAAGATAAGTTTTTTCGGCTTTTTGCCGTGACTTTGACTTTGAAGAGTTCAGTATTTTTTTCATAAAACTTACCACATTCACTGGGAAAACATGATGAAATCGTAACATAACTTAGCATCACAATTTGTGCACAAATGCCTCAATAACGAGATGTTAAAAAGTATTATCATTCTTCAAAGCAAATAAAAAATAGTAGGAGTTAAGTTTCTATGTAATAGGTAGGTAGAAATCTAGTTTATGTGGGTAGAATAGAATATAAATAAATCAATCGTTCGAATAATTCTACTAAATAAGGAAAATGTTTTTGATAAAGCGCCGCCTACAAGTATTATTGTTGAAACAAATGAACAAGTGATAAACGAACGTGACAGCTATTGTAGTCAACGTACTGAAATGCACCCAAAGAAATCAGTCGAGTATTATGAGTCTAACCTAACAAAAGGTCATAACTTTAAGAATGTGACTATGTATGGTCGTAAAACTGTTACCGAAAAGAATGTCAGACGAAACTTTAATACCGTTGAGCTAACCAATAATCTTAGCGGTCAAGGACATAGGCTAGTTAAAAATATTTGTACCGTTTTAAACTTATTTTACCAAAATCGAAAAGTTTCAGGCAATTTTTGTCTTAAGGCTTCACTTTCAGGCTATAAGCTCGCAGCGAGCAAGTGTGGACTGCGGGTCATAATTTAAAACAAGTGTCTTAAATAATAACCACTAAAAATTCTTACATTACGGTGGTGACCTGTAATAGTGATATGACCTTCACAAATTGAGTGTTCGTTTCTTCTAACAATGGAGTAGGGTAAGTGCGCTAGTTTTCGTNTGACGACTGAATGAAAAAAATTGGTGAGTAACTATTCATCTGATATTAAACGATTAGTAATAAAGGGGTAGGTCAGGTAAATGGCAAATCCACCAGCGGTCGCTCGATGACACTTAGACAAATAGTTTTTTAAAAGGTGAACTAAGTTGGTTAGGTATTTGTATTGTAGATACTTATACAAATGAACGTATAAAATGAGTTTATTTTTAAAAGTATAGGTACAGGGTGGAAACGATAAGTGATTTCACTTGATTTTTAATTATACAAGATATCGAGAAACTGTTTAGTGTTCCTTGTAAGTGCTTCATGAGCTCTTTAAAACAATAACAATAAATAGGTCAAAGAATAAACTGGATCTATGCGAAAATTCAATGTTTCCGAATTTCATTCGTAAACAAACTCGTAAATTGCATTCTTATTTAAATTATTTACGGAAAACATGATTTTAGGTTTAACTTGCTACAATATCATCAAGAGATACTAATTAATAAATACTAAATAAACAGATAAAGGGGATGGCATTAAGACACTCAGAATTCTCAGAAACCATTGATTTCGTGTTTGTTTGTAACTGTATTAAATGTATGAAAGCTGGAAATATAGGTTTTTTGAATAGATTCAGTTCGTTCTTAAACATGTTATTGATGCCGTTTGCTAGGTCTCATGAAGCACTTTTTCAGTAAGTAACCATTTGTTCGACATCTTGTATTACCTACTATAAGAAATATTCGAGTGAGATCACTTATTGATTATTTTCGTCATCCTTATTTGTATTAAATTTAATTAAAATACATTAAGGCTGAGATGCACCGCCTAACTTTGACCCTAACTGACAATAACCGGTGTTTTATGTTAGAGAGATTTTTGACATCCAAAATTTTGATGTCAATGTTAAAGTAAGACGGTGCAACACGGCCTAACAAATGAATCGTAGACAGTACTTTTTATTTTCTTCATAAATCTTTCTTTTTTTGTAAAGCTATCTACAAGCTTTTATTTTCTTTGACATCTGGAGTTGTAAAATCTTGCAACTTAAAATTTACTTACTTCCCGTTTTCCCATTGAGCTGAAATTTTGCATGTCTACACAGGCATGCAAAATTTCGTTTCATTTCGCACTAAATAATTTAATTTCCACGTGTTTTCATGCGATGGCCAAGTCAATATATTTATGTAAAACGTTAATGATTTCCTGGACTGGACATGGGTAATAGCAATAAAGATCATATTGGAAGAAAAAACATTGTATTTTGTAGGTCCATTGAAGTAAAATGATTATTAAAAATATTAACTAGGTGACAGGGTTTCCGTCCACGTGGACGAAATCCAAAATCTTGCAAAATTGTTGTGCTAGTATTAGTCCACTTATTTATCTAAGATTTCTATACAAAAACTTTAATAAACCCTTAAAATAGTGTTTATTATGCTAATAATTAGACATACGTGCCAAAAACATTACGTAAAGTAGATAAAACAGTAATTAAACATACCATGAAAGTTCCCTACCGCTACGTTTTTTTTCTAACTTGACGACGTTTTCAATTCACCTGTGTGCAGCAGCAACTTCCGTACATTTTTTTGGAGTTATTACTTGTCAAATTACATTTTCATGCAGGC